CCGATGCCATAGCAATAGATGGATCGCAGATCCAGCTAGCATCAAGGCATTGGCGAATATGTAAGGTCGACTTCTGCCAAACGGTATTGTCTTTATATTGAGATACACATTTACATCTCATGCATATAGCTCCATTTCTCCTGTCCCCAGATGTAATTACTTGGACGAAACTGTTATACAAAAAGCGACCGAACTCGACTGTTCGCCGTGTTGAGATAATGGAGTCTGCATTGGAGACGAAATATGGCGGATTACGGATGCCATGGGTGACAGAGCTACCAGATATCGCGCCATCCATATCTATCGAACTACAAAAGCGGGTAAAATAAAAAGGTAGATCGACAGGTGTATCGAGGATAGAAGAATTACTGAAATTTTTGCCAGTAAATGGGAGCGTATGTATCGAAAAGAGTTTTCGCTATTTGGGATTTTTGTTATAGGCTACGTATATATATATATATATAAAATAACCTACATATATATATATACTACGTTAGAGATGCGCTTGACAGAAGGGTTGTTTTGAGTGGTTTTGTTTCAGAAGCGTCACGAAAAACATTGCCAAAGCGTGGAAGGAATAAAATGAGTTTTACTGAAGAATAATGGATTGAATGCGTGATATCGGAAATACTGTAATAGTCTTACTGTTAAGTAGATGAGACCTAGTTGAATGTTTCTGTTTAAGAATAACAAAAACTTGTAAAAATTACACTCTTATATTGAATACAAAGCGATTTATACCACTTCGATCGAAATTATTAAAGTATACTTGTTCGATATCCAATTTCAATTAAATGATTTATTTTCATATATTTCATCTACACTAAAGAGGAAAAAATCTGCTAAAAAATTAAAATAATTAATTGTCTAATAATAATTTTATAGTATTGAGTAATATAAATTTATATTTTTTATTCACTTTTAAATTAAAAATATAATGTAAGTGAGACAACGCCTGTTTAGTTCAGAAGCTTCTCATTATTATTATTATTATTATTAATTTATATTTTTTAATAATAATTTTGAAATAAAACAAAATAACTATAAATGAAATACACTATTAAAAATATAAGATTATAAAACTTAAATTTATCTAAAGTCTATTAATAGTAAAAGTAGGTTTTATAATCTTATATTTTTAGTAATAAATATATATTATATATTTTACAAATATGATTTATATTCTAATTATATTACTCTATTGTTAATTTGTTTAAAAGCTATCAAGAATTAATTATATTTTTTTAAATATATAAATATGTTATTCAAACTACAGTAACAAATATGTTTAATTGAAAACGAAAAGCGCATATTAAATGTAAAATATCAATATAAAAATATTATGAAAAGCAAGCAAAAGGGGGGTATTTACTGTGGGTACATACCTTTAGGCTCAAACTTTTAGCTACAAAAACACGAAAAACTTTAAAGCATTTTATTTGTTTGTATATTGTTAACTTTATTTACAGTTTATTTCTATAATAAAGCAAAACTTTAATCAGGAAAAAATCAAAGTAACTTTATAAACATTTAGAAAAACAATCAATTAATGGAATTAAATAGAAATTTAATACTTTTAAACGAAACTGTATGCAGAGGCGACTTAACATAAACTTGTTTTACATGTTTAACATGAGCTTATAACTTTAATTTTAACAAGCAGGCCTACTTTAATGAAAAGTTTACATCAAAAAGTTTTCTTAAAAAATTGAAAAAAATAAAGAAAAAACATTAGCAATGGATAATTGTAATGGAGCAGATATAGAATGATTACTCTTGTAAGAAAGTCTTTAACAGAGCACGAAAAAATGTCATTATTATTATTTTAGCATTACTCTTTCGTTTCTTCACGTATCCAGAACTTAGGATTTATTTTTGGAAAATAAAATAACAAATATTAAATGCAATAGATAAAACTATTTCAAACTTTAATTATAAATTTATATTACAAAACTATTAATTATAATGTCGGATATATTTGAAAATATTACAATAGAATTTTACTTGTAATCTGTTTTCACTGTTGTGCTCCTAGTATCTACAGAGAAATTTAACTTCTCTATTAACTGCTAAGAATATAAATTTCTTTGAATAATGAATTGTTTCTGGTTATATAAGGAGGACGTCCAGAAGAGGGAAAGCTGGGGATTTTTCCCAAGTTTGGAAAATCCCGAAGGATCCTACTCCTATAATTTAATATTGTTTTTATTAACAAATACTAAAATCTTCAAGACCTCTTTTTATTAATAAAGAAATATTCTATCCCATACCAAACTTTCGACGGCCCTTCAAATAAAAATGGTTTTAAAAAAATCAAGCAATAATTTTTTAAATTTTTATTGGNACAATATAAAACTAAAGTGCATAAGTTTATTACATTATTAATTATTTTCGAATTAATGTCTTATTGCAATGATTCTAAATGTTGATAAAATTCTATATAAAATACTTAATTTAAATGTATTTTGGGCTGCAATTTGAAAAAATTGTAGACCTGTAAATTCCCACTGTGGTCCGTCTGTCCGTCTGCCCTTCCTTAATCTCGAGATAGATGCAATCCGAGACTAGATATAAAACCTTAGGCGCAGGGAGACCGATTAACTATATATAAACTTTCGATTTGAACCAGAAGTCACGTTATTTCAATTCAAAATTTCACCTGGAAAAAGTTATATAGATGACGGCACGACTCTATTGCTAACAGGAAATGTATGATGTAAGCCACTACTAATTTGAGGTGGAGAGCATATATTTTAAATTAAACAAATTAAAGATTGCAATCCGGCATTGTAACGATGTCACAATAAAATAATTGCTCGTTATTATTAAGTTTATTTGTGTATAAAATTTGTGTATAATATTTCAAAAGTTTAAGTCAAATAATAATTTTTAAATATGTAATTAAAAGCTACTCTTGTATTTAACGTAGTCGTTCTCGTTTATAACTTTCTGCTAATCAGTTTTAACTTCGAAATATTCATAAAATAAATATATATTTATTTTCAATGGTTTTATTTAAACTAATAGCATTTTTAATAAATTCTCTTTAATGGATAAATGTTCACTAAAAAATTCTAATATTTGTATTAAAATTTATAAGAAAACTTAACTGTTTTAATTTAAAATAAGTATTTATTTTCGAATTATAATTAAATCGACAGCAGCGGTGAATATGTTATGTATTTACAAACAAAACCTAAGTATATTCTTCTATCTTCAGGGAAAGTTTTCGTTACATTCAATTACTTATATCATTTTTTTATATTTACTTAAAATTAATATATCGATTCTAAATATTGGATTTGACTTTAAACAAATCTGTTGATTAAATATAATTATTTTATAATGATTATTTTCGAAGTTTCTACACTTCTCCATTCTTAATTCCATACATTAGCTTAAGCATGAAAACAATCGGTTATGTGATTGTTAGACAACTATTGTAATAATAAAAATAGTAACTTATAAAAAGAGCATTTCGTTGATTAAAAGAGATAAAACTAATTAAAGATAATAAAGTTTTAAATTAAAAATATGGATTTTTTTCCTCATTTTAAAGAATAAACTGCCATCATCCTGAATATGTGAGATTGGTTATTGAAACAAATTGATTAATCCATCGTTTTGGGTCTTAATTACAAAGTTAAAAGTGAAATTTCGGTTAAACAAAATTCATTAGTGAATTAATATAAAAAATTGTAATTAAGAATTAATGGAAAACAAGTTTGGAAATTAATAGAAAATGATTTTCATGTATTAATAATCGATTTAGAGAGAAGTTTGAAAATTATAAAATAAAAACTACTAAATTGAAAATAAAAAATAAATAAATAAATAAATAAAAATCCCAACAGATTGAATTCGAAAAATTACGATTAACATTAATTTTATGTATTAAAATGGAAATGAGTTTTTACCTGTATGTCATATCAATGTATTGTGGCCTATATCGATGTAGCTTCTATAATTTAACTCGTCTTATAAGTTAAATTACAAAAGAGATATTATGATAAATTAACAATTTAAATAATATTTATCAAAGTTAAGAAAGCAACCGACATAATTTACTAATTAGTGAGCTTATTGGCCACTTCGAACTTTGCTTAATCAGCGGGCATCCAATACGATGAAGATGACGATAAATAATATCAACTGACATAAAGAAGGCTCGAAAGAGATAAATGGAAGCAGAAGTGGCACGTCAGTTCATTCACACACCATATTGATGGAGGAATGTTGAACAATTATTTCAAACAACGTGGAAAAAAAAGAGGATCGAAATTTAGTAGTAATTTTTTACCTGCCACCATTTTTACCAATCGATGAATAAAATCGACCGTTCCTTATTAGTAACATGATAAACATCGTTGTCGCCGTTATAATTAAAATCTTTAGATATTTTTTGTTTGATAAAGAACATATAGAGATAGAAGAACGCTTAGTCTATGGTGCGGGATAATAGTAAATATTTGCTCATTGTCAGCAGCAGAAAGTTTTAGTTGCAAAGTTTCGAGTCTTGGTTAAACAAACCGTTCGATTTTCTACAGATTATACGTGCTTCAGTTTGTATGTCTTTCGGAATTTTCTGAGGTTAACTGTATTTATACCCTCCCCTATTGTTTTGTCTTGGAGGAAAAAATTGTTTTACGCACGCGAAGAATATTGGAGGATCTTCTAACATCTCTATCCATTTAACATATTTTTAATTTTCATTTGTCTTTTCATGCCGTAAAATTACAACTAATGGAAGAAAATATAACATTCTAGATGAATTTTTAAGGAGATAAATCCCCGTAGATGCACAGATTGTATCCAAAAATAAGAATATACTAGATTACTAATTTATATCAACATTTACTTAACTTTTTCTGTATCTAAAACTAGTTAATGCGAAAACACAACAAGAAAAATACAGAGATGCTGTATTTTTAATCATAAATATAGGTTATCAACGTTTTGCCGCATTTCTTATTTCTAAATAAGAGAAGTAGTGCATCTTACCTGCATGGAAGAGCATTACAAAACACTTTAAAGATTGCTTATTTGCATGTCAAATGCAATAGACTTCTTTAGGGGGAAAAAATCAGCCAAAGAGAGATTACTCGCATTTTACTTTAAATCCTTTTAGAAAAAGAAAAAAAATTAAATGTTATTTATTGTCTCATAGTAGAAAACTTTGATGAAAAATTGCACGGCTGGCAAAAATAGAAAGTTTCGTAAATATCATAGAAAGTCTAACAATGGTTAAAGAGTTGAACTTTTTCGAGTGGAAAGTTCTCTTTAATCTATTGCGGAGACAGTTCAAGAAGTTAAAAAAACATTAAAATTTTAATCAAAAAAAATCAGAGTTGGAAGATTTATGTACGTACACAATAGAGCATCGCTGTGATTTGAATTTATCAGTGCGATTCTAAACAAAATATTAAATACAATAATCCAGATAATGATTGTTCACATCGATTTTAAACGTTAAACTCTTTTAATTAACATTAAATAACTGTTGTTTTGAGTCGCATTAAAAGTTTTCTTGAGTTAAGGAACAGTTTGTTACATAATCCCAATGAATGAAGTCAATAATACAATACAGTAATCATTTATCGTATAAATTAAAGGGCAAAACGTTCTCGCCGAATTTAAAGTAAGTATTGATACAATTAAATCAGTTTCAATTATAATTTATAGTGCTACAATTCTGCTAAAATATATAACTTATTTTAATTTATAAAGTTTTATAATTTTACATGTTATATAACCGTATTATAGTAATAGCATTCTATGAATGGGTACATTATTATTAAAAAATGATCAAACTCACCAAACAGAGATATAATTCGAAAAAATCTTCATTAATAAAAAACATAATTCTGTATAGTGGATACATTGAAAATATCAGTTTTTTTTTTTGCCATTTTTTCATCCTCCACATTTTTGTTTCCTCACTTCTCTACTTCGATTTCTAAAGTTCGTTCCGCCATTGTCTTATCAACACCCTCTAGTTTCAAAATGATAAACTAAAAATACAAATTATAACTCTATAAAATTAGATTTTAAAACTTTTATTCTATTTATTTTTTTTCGTAAGTTTAATATTACCTTAATAACGAATAAGTGAAGAAAAATTAATAATTCTGTTGTAATAATTATTAAAATTTCATCTACATATAATTCACATTTTTTGTNAATCTTAATTTTTACTTTATATTTAGTACAGTTTCAATTTTTTCACTCATCGTTAATTTACTCCTGAAGCATTTAATTTACAGCAAATGTATGCAAAAATTAAATTATTTTAAATGTTTATAATTTATTATTTTTTTAATTTAAAAACATTTAAACTAATAAATCAAATATCTTGATGTAATATTTTATTTCAGATTATTTTTTATAAATAGGTATAAGAAATATGTGATAAATTTCGATAATAGATGGCGCCAGCAATCTATTATCGAAATTTTCATTCTTCCTGAAAATAATTTCGTTTTCAATTTTCAGATGGCGCCAAAGTATAATTACGAAAATTTTAAATATATTTTAAAATTCATTTATTTCTAAATAATAACAATAAAAGTATGAAGTATTTTTTACTAATTAAAAAAAACAAATTTTTAAATATTAACTTAAAAAATAATAATTATTATATTCTATATACATTTTTAAATTCAGAATTGTTATTGGATATAATGAAAATTTTAAAATTATTTATAAGAATTTTCTAGTTATAAATTAAAAGAAAACGTCTGTTTGGATAATAAGAAAGGAGTGAAAAATCTTCACCTATAATTAGGCACCTTCTACATTTGGAAGAATGGGAAATTATCAAGAAAGGATATCTTCACTTCCTGCATTCCTTTCGTAAACTAAGTCATTGGTGTCGAAATTCAGAAATCCTATCTCACATATTCACTACCTTATAAAATTGTATTAATAGAAAGGATGAAAACTAAGAAATGACAGAAAAATAAAAAATTTAAAAGATTTATTTCTTTTTCTAGAAAAACAGAAATGACTGAAAATTATTAAAATTTCATCTACATATAATTCACATTTTTTGTATAAGGACAACTGAATAATCTATAATATTTTTTTCGAATTTTACTTGTCACTTGTCAAGGTTTATCACAACAGAAAAATGCTTTAGAAATCCTTCGTATCGTATTACTTCGCTATGATAGGCTATACATAACCTATACCAATTATATTTACAATAATAATAATTTTAATTTTTTTATGTTAACTCGAATTATATTGAGTTTATTAATATTTATATGAAGAGCCAAATTGGATAGAAATGTTGATTTTATTATTTAAAGATAGATTAAGATTTTTTTATGTCATCTAGGCTATTATTTTTAACAAATTATTTGCCTCGTCTTATCTATATCGTGCTGCATCTTGCTAGCTATTTATCACCGTGTCGTCGACGGACATTTTCACTTCTTAACTGCTCATTTCTCGAGGGACTCATTGGTTTTTCCCTTTCCCTATTTGCAAACGTCACTTACATTACGTCATTTCCTGTCGGGAGGTGTCATTTCCTCCACTCAACAGCTGTAAAACAGACCGAGTTGACTTCCGATTTACAGACATCCTCGCCACACAAACTTTCGTGGATCGTGTTACAGATTCTCCCCTCCCCTTCTCTCCGTTCATACTTTCTCTGCATGTGGTGTTTAGGAATTTACTGCTGGGAAGCGTTATTAGAAACTAGTAATCTGTCTTCTTTAAAGTCATTAAGTTAGGTTAGAATTGGACTCGGTGGTAAAATTTACAAGTTGGATCGGACCCGCTTTAATTTACTAGCTTCGTTATATATTGATATATATATTTACTTTCTTATTTTACTTTTCTGCACGATTTAAATTTGCAAATGATAAATTTTAAACTATATAAAACAATATATTAAATCCTATTTTACTCGCTAGATGGAGACACGTTACATTTATGAAAACATCACGTATCCTAAAGAAATATTCTTTTTATACGGAAAAATTGTCTTTACGAAATGTTTATAATTTTAAAATACAATTAATAAATGCTCTCCTGGTGACATTTGTACATTTTTAAATATTTTATAAATATTCTAGAATTTTTCAAATTTATTGCGCTACGATAAAACAAATATAAATTTTTTGGATATTAGTAATGTGATTTTGCTTCTTAAAATCAATTTTGAGAGTAACTCTATTATACTACTTATCAATAAATAAATAAATGTCAGGAAACCGTATTTAAAATTTTAAAAATCTTCAAATTCTGTTACTTTTATCTTTGAACAATTAAAGTACGAAATTTTTATTACATTTCTTGTTGTTTTGTTTATTTATTTTTTATCCTTCTTTCATAATGTAAAACAATAAACTGGATTACTTTATAGAAATATTAATAACTACTTTATAAATTTAAATATGGTTAATATAGTTTAAACGTGTTTTTTGTAATGTTTTTCTTAGAACTTTGTTATGTTTTGCTTATTTTAAACTTATATTCTTCCTCTGCCTCTTATTTATTTAATTTTTTATCGAAGTTTTTTCAACAGTAGTCGAGAAACATTTCCTTTAATTCATAATAATTTATATTAATTTTAATTTTTATAAACTAAGAAGTGCATAAAAATTTATAAAATAATCTTAATTTTACGAATTCTTTTCCAGAAAACTCTGACTAAAATATAGAATTTAATTATTTTTAAAATAATTTAAATTACATTTATAAATCTTCAAACAAATAATTTTAATATTCTGTTAAGCTGTAGTTTGTCGCTGTTATTTTTTCCGACAATTAAATGATACTTAATTAATAGTACAGCTTAGAAATTTGTAGGATATCAAGTTTTATTTCCCGACAAGAAAAAAATTCTTTATATTTCACACCTTTTGCTACTCTACTGAACACTTGATGTAATTTTTCAAGAGGAAAGATCCAACAGCCTGGAAACACCATCGTTCTTTGTTGGAGAAAAACGACATCGCTGACGGCTGTTTCACGCTCTAACGAACACTTGCTTGGCCTATAAGGCCTGGGCGAATGAGAATGACTTTAGATCTAGATATAACATCTTAACATCAAGCGAGAAGGAAATTTTATTATCTAACTTCGGATTCATTCATTTAGATCTAATCTTCTACACATCTCTCACAGTTCGTTTACGAACTACTGATCCCATTGGCTCCTTTCACTTTTCGTCACGAATAGCTATCCTTTAGACTTTAAATTGAAATTCTCCACTGTTATATTAACAAATTTATAACTCGGTAGACTAGGAAACGTTATAACTGACTAATGACTAAAAGTAAACCGACTTTATTATTTAGTTGATATATGGAAGGCATCAACTTGTAAAAGAAGTAATAAGAGGAGCATTAAAGGTGCGAATGATCAGACTGCAAGAGGAATGATTCCCACAATAATCATTATTTAGAAAGTGTTTACCCTATGACGATTTATCATCGGAAACTGCATTTGTTGTATGCTTGCATTCAGAGGCCATATTTATGACTGTTTATAAAGCTGTCGTGCGAAGCTATTAGAGAAATCATATTTCATCTTATCTTATTTCAAGACAATAGACTGCAGTTGGATTCGGGTCGTTATGGCGTTTGATTTTACTTTCTATGAGGAAATGTTTGAATAAAATATCGAAATTTACTATGAAAATAGATATTTTATTCCTGTTTAATCGAAAATTAAATCAGCTTTCACAGAACAGTAACAATAAATATAAGTCCTCCATTGTTAGAACTTTATCACGAAAGAGTTAAATTAGAAGCTATGTATATTAATAATAAAAAATTGAATTTATTCAAATTTAATATATAATTTTTAAATAATTAAAATTATGTTAATGAAAACTAATAATTAATAATGTCAATGAAATATAGCAAAACTGAATTAAACTAAGCTTTATTAAAAACTTTATTGTATGCAGAAGACTTATAAATATAAAATCTATAAAAATATACATAAAACCCGTAATAAAAATTTTATTTATATTGAGTATTAAAATATTTTTTTCGAATTATGCTAATTGATTTTTTAAATTTTTTATTCAATTAATAACGCATTAAATTATTTAAACATAATTTTATTTATAGAATTATTTAATTAACTCGCCTTAAAATATTTTATGTATGATATAAAATCACTAACACAGATTAATGTAGTGTAATATAAACATTTTTATGATAAATCGATGTAAATGTATATTTTTGTGTAAGATAAATTATAAAGTTATTTAGATACGACGTATTTTGTATTAATAAAGACTATATATATAATGTAAAAACAAGTCTCCAGTATTTTGTTCTGAGTACTTAACATTGTTTTATATCTGCAGGTGTACTGTTCATTGCCAATCAATGTGTGATAAAACGATAATGCGATCACGCAATCATTGCAAAATCTATCATCTTAAGGAGATACTCACGAGTATTAGAAGCTCGATGTTTTATGTTCGATCTTTAACCTCGTCTGTTCCAATGGTCTCCCAAGCAATTAAACTTAAAACTTTATAATTAAAGAAAAAAATAGAGCGTTTTACTCTGAATGACTATACCTCACACGCATTTCTATGTAAACTGTTGATAACTTGATTTTAACGAAATTTCGAGTGAATTATGATTTGTTCTTTTCGAGCGTCAGTAGAGTTTAAACTGCAACGTGTCTGGCAAACAAACGCAACGAATGTTTATGGAAAGGGTTCCAATGATTTACTGCTTACTTGAATTTAACTGGACACCCAGAGAACAGCTGTCAGAACCCAAGGCCAATAATAGAACTATCCTGCCACACTTTGCCAGGTCCGTTAGACTCCAATTATCCTTGGCAAACGGTAGCTTAGTTCTGACAGCATCCCTCGAGATGCTGGATGATACATTAAGCGCTTTTCTATTATTAATTTGTAATGGTGTTTAGATTGCGTGAAACTGAATTAGTTGTGTGCTGAAAACAAATCTGGAACTTCTTATCTCTTTTATTACGAGAAAAATTGCTAAAATTTATTGAAAGAAAAGTTTTTAAATTTTATTTTAAAAATTTATTAAATTTAAATATAAATCTGATGATAAAAAAATCGACAAATAATTGTTCTGATGCGTTTATAATGTGATAAAAAGATTACTTTTGCACCTTATTAATTGTGAGAGAAGTTTTTCTTTAGGTATAACATAATAAACTATTTGATTGGAAGAAATAATGGTGGTATCTATTTGCATTCCCAGTAACTTGATATCCTGGTTTAGCGATGTGTGTTGTCGCGTTTTGGCAGATGTGCCTTTGAAAAACAACCGAATGACATAGTCTGTCGCTTTTGTTCGGATCGGCGCCAAATTCGTGGCTATAGTTTGTTTTGGACTAGTTGAAGGTCTAGGCTGTATTATAAAAGCTCACTGGCCTACTATTGATACAAATAAGAGAGAATATATATACATAAAACAGTCAATTTATAATTGATTATTTTGTATTTTCTTCGTGCATTATTCTATTTATAAGCATTAAGATTCTTGTAAAGAAACTTCTGGGATAAAGAAGATGAACTTAAAACGCTCAAAAATGCCCCTAAGTAAAAGTTTGACTAATGAATTTCAAGAAAATTCTTACAGAATCCTTTTGGTTATGTTTAACGAAGTGTAAGTTCGCAACTGTATGTTTTTCTATCTTTCTGCCATTAGGAATGCAGAAGCGTCGTTAATGCAGCAGCTTTGCACAAACAGCATCCTAGATATACTGTAATTAACAAGAGGCTGAAGCAATTATGCATGAAGGCTGTTAAGACTGTGGAATTCCGTTCACACCGTATGCTTTCCACATAAATCACCAGAGTTTTATATACGTCAGCTCTGCAGAAAATTGAGAGAGAAAATTGCAAGATGAAGTGACAGAATCTTCCCAGATTCTACTTGTATGTTTCTTTTGAAAATAAGCCAATTTCCTGTCAAACTTTAGAAATCTGAATTTAAGCTGTTGAAATAATAGAAATAACTACTTTATTTATCTCTTCTCTCATTCTTTATTTTGTCACACTCAGGCATTCTATAAACTTGTTACAGTTTCGTTAATGAAAAATTACTTCTACGAGCATTGCTATTAAAAAAAATAGATAAAATTTTACAATTAAAAATTAAAAAATGGCAAAATCCATTCAACCAAACTTAAATATTAAACTGCAAAAAATTTCCATAAATAAAAACATATTAATGTTTAATAGATTTTAAAAAATAGAACAATTTTTACCGAATTAATATTAAATTCCTTCTCCTTAAATTCTATTGGAAACAAGAATAAAATAATTTTTTAGAATTTATTTTTCTCCTCTTTTTTCGGATATATAAATATTTACTATCCTCATAAGTTACCTAAGTTGTAACCATTTTCACTTGAATTATTGATAATCGGTGATTTATTGCGAGTTTTAACCATAATTTAATCATTTAAGAAAGAAAGTTGAAGGCAAATCCGGCTAAGAGTTGAACGTTTCCCAAGAGGCGAACGGAAGATACCGCTTTGCGATAAGTACTTTCAACAGACCGACAGAAGAATGAAGAGATTTTCTCTCTTTACGTCATAAATCACGGAATATGTGTTTCCTTATAGAATATTCAACACGCTTACTTTCACTGACCTGTATCTTTGCAGCAAAAGATGCTTTCAAAATAATAAAACCTTACTTATTAAAGCGGCAATTTATTTTCACTTCAATAAATTCTTCTCATACACTACAATTTTTTTTTCTTCTTAGACTCAATTAGAAACAGATTGATCTGTTTTTGTTACAAACATTTGCTCTTATTGTTTTTATAATTTTTAATCTTTTTCTTTAAAAAGTATTTATTCGATAGCATTTAAAACATTTTTTTGAAATAAGATAATTTATTCAATTTAAATAGTTTTTTTTTTAAGTTTTAAATATAATCAGCATTAACTTTTAATATCGTTTTGAGAAAGTAATTACAGACAAACCTCCAAACAACGGCCACTGACGGACCTTCGTTTGGAGGTTATTTTGTATGTATATTTAAAAAGAAACGTTTCTATAAATATGGCCGTCGTTTAGAGATGGCCGTTGTTGGAGGTTCGATGTAATAGAATTCGAGTTAGAAATTGAGTATAATAAATCTATAGAAGAAGCGAATTCTTTTATTAATTCTGTATCGGAAACTTATGCTTTTCAGGATTTTTCTTCTATGCCATGTCAGCCTTTCATTTATACAGTACACTCTCGATAATCCGAAGTGAAATCAAAGAGAATTACTTCTATTAAATTTTCTTCTTACTTCTATTAAGAAGAAAATTTGTAGAATTATCCCTCATCAAATAGAAATTTTAAAAATTTATTATAACAGGAAAAAAAACAAAAAAATAAGTGTAGACTTCTTACACGTGCTTTATATCTACAAGAATACATTAAAACACAACTGGAATTGACTTTTAATTGTGGGCTCATCTCTGCCCCAAGATACATATATATATATATATAATTTTTGTTATAAAAATACATTATTGTCTAATAATTTGGTATTAATTCTTAATAAATCCATTCTATTTTTCCTTCGAAAATTTAACTAAAATTTTTATAAATGTTAATTTCATTAATCCGAATAGCCTTAATATTATAATCAGGATTATTAGTGTATATACAATACAGTACAAAGTTTACTATATTTTATTACTTAAACAGTATTTTTATCTAGATTCACAGTATTTACTTACAAATAAGAAGAATGCATCCGTAGAAGTTAGATGATAAACTCGTTATTTTTTAACCGGTTTGAAATTTTTAAAGCCATATATAAGTCTAGTTGAACACGTTTCATTGATAAGTTTTCGAGTGATTCGCAAATCATTCTGAATTTAATGAATCTATAATAATACAATCAAACCTTCAATAACGACCACCTTTAAACAGCAGCCACTTTACAGGAACAAGAGTGTAAATGAAATAACCTCTAAACAACGGCCATTATTTATGTTCTCAGCGGCCGTTGTTCAAAGGTTTGACTGTATAATATTTTATTTATTCTTATAAAATTCATACTTAATATTCGTGTTGTTGTAATCGTCTTAATATTCGTGTGGGCTGTGAAAACTCTCGACGATGCGTGCTTAACATCTTTATCTTATTATACATTCATATTATATTTCAAAGCATTCGTAGCATAAACGTTAGTTTTAGATAATATATTATGTCTTTTTAATAACCATTATGGTTGATTTTGCTATTTAAATTCATAAAAACGGCAGTAAATTTATACAGAAATCGAAAAATATAGTATAATTTTACGCTTGTTTGTAGTTTACGGCAATTGTTCTAATACTTTAAAATTTTGTAGACTAGGCTATATTATTGACATTTTATAAATATTTTACGGCATTTCGATGCCGGAGACTATTTTATTTGATGTAAATGTGATATTTTTGGCATTCTATCAAAAATGAATAATCGAATGTTTATGTAAAGAATGTTCTGAACTATCGGTTTGATCAATATGTCTTAAAAATAAACAGGAAATTTTTTCACACAAAGGACTTCAAAAATACTAGTTAACAATTTTATTTTATCTAAGAAAATAAATCATCTGATAGTTGATAACGTATCTATCCGATCGAAAATGCTAGAAATTCCATGCAAGGTGCATCATTTTTTATATTGTAGGAGGGGGAAACATAACGTTGTCTTTATTAGTTTATTCTCGTTTAATATACATAAAACGTTTATAAATTTAAGAAAAAATTTAATATAGAGGCGTGTTAATTTGAAAGTATCCCTTCGAGACAATTAATTTAGTCATTGTAAAGGAATAACTTCATTCCTTTACAAAGTCATGGATCTTTGTGGGGGGTAAAACATATGCTGTATTGGCGACCGCTACACGTTACGTGGTAGTCTAATTGCCAAAATGTGAAAGTCTTGTCGATAGATTTTCGACGAGGTTCATGACTTTTTATCACGACAACCAGCATCTGTCTTTCCGTTTCTAGAAAATCAAATATTCCAAGAATCCGAGATGCATATGTGCAGAAACTCACTTTAAATTTACGCTTAGATGTATAACTACATTAAGTGAATCGAGGATATTTCTCGAAACTGTTCGTCATGCAGAATGATTGCTCGGAGGCAAGTAAAAAAAAAAGAATTAAATGGTTCGTTAATTGACAGGTGTTTCTTTGTGGCGGTGAGTAGCCTAAGAGGATGCGGTAGATGACAAGAAAGAGATAATTGGCGGAAGATGCACATTCTCTTATCCTCTTGTTTTATTTTACCACTTAACAATGATAATCCAGTAAGCAGTGCTTAAACAACATCGTAGACCACCTCTTGGATGGCAGTTTTGAATAGTTGATTAGTTTTTGTTTCTTAGTAGAAAATTTTTCATGATTTTTTGCAGCTGTCGTGTTTAGTAGATAAAGTAAACGAAAAATAAAAATAGGCCATTGGAATTTATGGAGAAAATTCGTTTTATCTTAGCAGTCCGAAGTACCTTAGGATAATTATCGTTATATAATTAATTGAATTGAAAGAAGTAAGTTATAGTTTAAAGCTTTGTAAAATTTTAATATAAAATATATATACGTCGTTTAACTTTGTCGATTATTAATCATTAATTTATTCTATTTTTTTAA